CTCCAAGGGTACCTCTACTTGTGTGCACATACCCCCACACAGCCACATACACTTAATTAACAATTTACAAAAATTTCTTTTTTTTTTTTTTTTTAAACATTACATTGTACGTTTTTACTGTAAAATTCAATGAGAACATTTACTCGGATGAGCTTTGATTCCTTTTAAATTTTCTTGGAGACATTTTTTCTATGGCTAAGTTGTACAACCCATGAAATGAAGAGAATAATTTACAGTTATCTTCTTTGTGTACCACAAACAGTATGAAAAACATCCCTTTTAATCTGAAATTCTGGGATTGTTGAGATGATTAATATAAAGTCATATTTTCCTTAAAATGATTATTTTCTGATTATGCTTTATATTTCAGCACAATTAATTTTGTGTGTGTGTGTGTGTGTGTGTGTATGTGTGTGTAAACCAAAGACCAACTTCAGCGGGTATTCCTCAGGAGCCGTCCACTCAGTCTTTTTGAGATGGGGGTCTCCCATTGAACCTGGGACTCAGTGATTCTACTAGGCTGGCTGGCTACAGAGCCCATGGAATCCACATGTCTGCCTCCCCAGTTCTGGGATTACAAACATGCACCATCACACCCTGGGTCTTTATTTGGGGTCTGGAGATCAAATTCAGGTCCTCACACTTGTGTGGCAAGTACTTTACTGACTGAGCCATCCTCCCAGACTTCCACACACTTATTTTTAAGAGGCATCTGTTACTTTTCTAGCCACGATCCTCTCTCCTTTCCATAGTAGCCAGACTACTTACAACTGGTCTGCATTCTAGGCTCTCTTTTCCAACTCGTTTTCCTCCTTTCGCTGTCAGTCTTCACTGCCAACAGCCTTCCCCAAGATCTCCACTGATGCCCATGTTCCTAAACCAGCGGGTTCTTTTTTCTGACCTCATCAGATGTAATTCTGTGGCATTCTCGTTGGTTGAAACACTGCCCATGGAAATGCTGTCTTAGCTCTTATGGCTTTAAGACTGGGTTTTCTACCAACCTTGCTGGCCATCATTTTAGTTCCCTTTGTAGGTGTTTTTTCTTGACATCCATTTCTCTCACTTATATTTTTGTCTTGATGTTCATTAATAACATAATACTTATGCTAAAACATACAAATATACAAGTATTCTTTATTTTTTATTATGGTAGGATATATGTAACAAAATTTATCACTTGAACCATTTTTAGGTAAAGAGTTTAATGGTATTAATTCACATCACTGTGTATCCATCACTCCATCAATCTCTAGAACTTGTTTATTATCTCCAGCTGATAGTCTATGCTGATTAAACAATAGCTCTCCATTTCCCTATCCCCATCAGCCCCTAGCACATCTTAGTTTTATATTTGTTTGTTTGGTTGGTTTTTGGTCTTTTTGAGACAGGGTCTCCCTGTAGCCCCAGATGGCCTGGAAGTCTCAATGTAGACGAGGCTGGCCTTGATCTCACAGAGATCTGCCTGCCTCTCTCTCCCGAGACATCTGTTTTTGAAATAGTTGTTTTTCTCATGATTCTTACTGGGCCCCTCCTGTCCCTCTCATGGCTTCAGTCACTCTCTAGGAATCACCTACAGTTTTTAACCTACTTCTCCCCAGAACTGGACATCCAAGAGGTCCACTGGGTATCTTGGAGGAGCCTCATACTCTGTCATCCAGTCCTGGGATTTTTGCCTACTTGATGTCCTCTTGAATCTCTCACTTCTTTCTGTCTTTCACCAGCACAGGCCTTGGACGTGGCCTACTACATCTTCCCTAGTCCAGACTATCCACTCTGGGGTTAGAATGGCCAGCCTGACACACCCATATGGCCATGGTGCTCCCTTCTCAAGATCCTTGGTGCTTACCAGGATCCTTTCTTCACTTTCAACCTCATCTTTCTAGCTCTTTTCTGGAGAGGATGGCTCCACCCATTGCAGACTTCCAGTTCTTTGAACCTACCCAGTCCTTGCTACTCTCTGGTCTACAAGGCTCCCTCTGAATTGGTCTCCTCGCTCTCTTCTTCAACACTTACCATAAGCTCTTGATTCTCAGAGTCAAACACCACTTCCTTAGGAATGTCTCTGCGACTTCCTTAGGTTGTACTGGCTTCCCACTGAATGCTCTTATAAAGTATAGTTTGCTTCTTTTTCCACAATTTGTCATTTTGTCATAAACAGTCTTTAATTTTACTCATTTCCAACAACCTAAACTCCACCAGAGCAAAGGCCTTATTTGTCCTGCATCTGCAATGCCTGGCACTTGAAGGTGCTCAGTGTTTGTTGAATGAATGAAAAAAAAAAATCCTTCTTGTAATTGATGTCCTCAGGCCACATAGTGTTGAAATTAGTTGATTGATTATATAGCCAATTGCAATTATCAAGTGTTTTTGCGATAAAATTTCAAGCATTTTTGTGATGTTCAATTTAGGGATATTTATTAAGTCAGTTCAGTTTGTGTGTGTGTGTGTGTGTGTGTGTGTATAGGCACACACATCCCAACGTGCACATGTGGAGGTCAGAAGACAACTTTTGGGAGTTGGTTCTCTCCCATTATTGGATATGAAGATCAACTCAGGTCAGTAGGGTTGTATAGCATGTGCTTTTACCCACTGAGCCATCTCAGTAGCCTTGGAACACACACACACACATTTTTAAAAAGAACACAAATCCACCTTAATCTGCTTTCCATTAGGTTAAATTCTTGAGGGCACACCATCAGAAAGATTGTGTCCAGTGGCCTTAGTAGGAAGACTGGTTTGGAATTTCCTTGAACCATTCCACTCTTTTGATTGACAGAAGTCACCTTTCCCCTGATGACTCTGGCTTTGCTTTTTGCTGCCAGGACTTGCTGACTGTTTTTGTTTTGTATACATATGCACATCTCTTGCCCAAGGAGAATCCACTTTCATCTAGGGCATCAGCACCTTCAACTTTAGGAAGAGCTGTGTGCTCCGGTTAGCTCTGGAGACATACTTAAGTCAACAGAGATGGTCATATACTGCAGCCTTCCAGATACTTCTGCTTTTCAGTTTTGCTCCTGGGAGGCCAGGCTCTAAGATGGTGAATAAACCACACTAAGTTTTTTTTCCAATTAATTTATTGCTCAAGATTTGTATCCATATCAGAAAGCAAAATGGTTTTCCTTTCAAGACTATGTGATTCTCCTTTGGTAGGACCCATCAACAACTCAAGGATTCCTGGATATTTTAGGAGTGTGTTTGCCCTCTTTTCTGTTGAGTATCATGGCCATCACTAAAACTGCATTTAAATGGTAATGATAATCTATGGAGACTGGGGAGATGCCTGTGCAAATGTAAGGACCTGAGTGTGGGTCCTCAGAACCCACATACAAGCCAGACACAGTAGTACATGTCTATAATCCAGCATTCCTACAGCAAGATGGGAGGCAGAGGCAGGAGAATTCCCAGAAGTTCATGGACCAGCTAAGCCTGGTATAAGCAGGACTGAACAACAAACAAGATGGAAGATAACACTCAAGGTTGTCCTCTGACATCCACATGTGTGCTGTGGCTCATACCTGCCCGCATATACAGGTACCACACACATGAAGATATAATTATAATTTAATCAGGTGTGGGGATACACCCTTTAGTCCTAATA